TTAGAGAAAAGAAATCGTAATTTCGGGACGAAACACGCAGAAAACTGTTTGAAAATGCGGCACAAGGGTTTTACATTGTGACGGGTAGGTTTGGAAATAGAGCGAACGCACTGAAAAGACCGAGTCAGTAATTGGAATGCAAAATCAATCCGAATGGATTGCTTAGCCAAAAAAACCTGATTTTTAAGCTCCTGTGGCTTTGAATTACTGCTGACTTTCGTGGACGGTCCTTCACTCTATTTCCTCCGTCCCATTTTCTCCAACCAACAAGGCGAAGCTTCACGCTAGGCAGAGAGAGAGAGAGAGCGAGAGAGCATAGAGTCTGGGTGAAAACCATAAGTCAGTGATACAACAGGGACAGTTCGACCGTCGCAGATTGTGACATCCACCGCGCAGAGCAGCGGTGGCTTGCGCGTGAGTTTTGTAATCGCAAGATAGACTTGCACAGCATCCACCGCACTCTCGCTTCCCTCACCTACCTTGCCCCGAGGGCAAGAAGATGTTAAGATGACCGGACGTGGGCTCGGACGCAGTGGCTGACAGAGCCGAACAGGCAGTCGACGCGTGCCCCACGCACGACCGGGTCCCCATTGCGTGTATCTGGACAGAGTAAAGGCGGCTCTAAGTTTACAGGCATGAAAGTCCCGCGATGGCCTCACTGAGAAGGAGCAGTTGTAACTTGACTCTCAGTCCTCGAATTAGTCACTTCGACATACATTAGGTGGGCTAACTCATGAAATGTCAACCGAAATTCCGAAATGCGTTTTCGTTTCGAAAAGGTTAATTAAGTAGGGTTGTAAAATAAATCATCCTGCAGCATTATTCTATAATAATTCAGTTACCCCAGGACGCCGGCTTTAGAACAGATTTCTTCCCGGCTGCATCCAAAAACCATACTCCGTAAAAAATGACTACTTAGGAAGCATGCATTTTTTCATTGATTTTCGATGCCCTTAAAGATTCCGTGGAACCATGCATAAAATATCCATTCTTTTGCTCATTCGGTAGAAAATTACGTCTTATTTCAGTTTTATACTCGAAGGAAGGGTATGATTTGGTCTTAAAAATGTTTCATATTGTGTGATTTTTTAATACCTTGAAATGGCCGTTCATAAAACGCCACTTCTCCGCATTTACCAATGTGGCTTGTAAAGTTAACAATATTGCTCAAATCCACTACTTAATTTTAAGAACCCCATATGGTCTCCGCTTAATACGGTAGAGAAATGTGTGCTTTTCCGTACGCGGAAATTATACGGCTGGTAGTTTGGGAACCCTGAATGCCAGTGTAACGGCAGGTCAGGTTCATAATTATTCGGGAATAGGAAAAGTTTTATAAAACCAAATTATACCCTTCTTTCGAGTGTAAAATTTAAAGAAGACATAATTTTCTACGGAATGGACAAAGGGATGAATATTTTATGTATGTTTCCCATGGACTATAAGTGAATCTTTAAGGGCATCAAAAATTAATGAAAAAAATGCATGCTTCCTAAGTAGTCATTTTTAACGGAATGTGGTCTTTGGATGCAGCCGGAAAGAAGTCTGTTCGAAAGTCGGCGTCCTGGGGTAACTGAATTATTTTAGAATTATGCTGCATGATGATTGGTTTTACGGCTCTACTTAATTCATCTTTTTGAAACGAAAACGCATTTCGGGATTTCTGTTGACATTTCATGAGTTAGCCCACTTACTGTACTCACGTGAGGACAGAGACAACACATCAGCTGCTAACCTCACAAGTCACGACTCTTAGCTCGTCGAGACAGATTCGAGCGCACCACATGGGCTGGTGTGCCATGGGGATGGATCCCCTAGTGCCAACATAATTCCCTCTCACCTCTTCCATTCATCGGCCAGATCGACGACAGTTCGACCACCGCGAACGATGATGTCCACCGTGTGACGGTGCCTTGCGCACGAGATAGTGTACTGTGAGGAAAACTTTGGAGCATCTACCACATCCCTTACCCTCACCTGCCTGGTTCTTGTGATTAAACAGCACGTCTACGCCCGCCGCACACGGTCCGGTGCCACAGAATGTAACAGGCTTCTACAATGGGCCGCTCAGAGCACACACGCGTTAGAGTACCGCAAAGGCCACAGTGATACGGAGCCACTGGGCCTGACCGCCTGGGCTAGCTGGTTACTTGGCATTCTTCCAAACCACGACTTGTAACGCGTCATGATGGATTCCAGCACGTCAGATTTATTATAGTAAGGAATGCGCCGGTGAGCCGTGGGAATGGATGTCCCCGTGTGGAACTCACACTCACTGTTCTCCCAGTCCACTGCCCGAGCCTCTCCCATCTTCCTGTCAAATGTCGACGGAAATGAATGCTGCGACACTAAAGTTAGTGACAGGGTCCAATACTGCAAGATGTCCCACCAGCGGTAAGTCCAACAGTAACAATATTGGGCAAGGATAGGTAGTGTAGCCCCACTAGGCTTAATATGTATAACTGACTGCTGCAGTTGTTTTGGTAGACCTTGAGTAGTTTATGAACTCGTAGCTACATGAAGTCTCCCTTTGAGTGTTACCCGGCGAGTTGTTTTAGTATGACCTTTTTAGTGATAGATTATTGAGCATGAGGTGGCCTTCGGTTTTTGCTCCCCCACTCGGTGATCCGTTGTGTCTTACCTTGATCTCCTAGTTTTCCAAATGTACTTACACTGACGTACATTGTCGATTCCGTACACTGCGACTTACTTATTTTCTCCAAAAAAAACATTTGAAACTTTTCGTGCCTTTTCGGTACTGACCATACAACACGTGTTGTAAGGATCGCCGGCTGCATGTTCGTTTACTTCCCCTCCGTTAGAACGCAAACGCTTGGCCTACTCGACATCTCCAAACACTCTCTATTGTCGAGGGCGAACGCGGTGACTTGTTTACTTCTTCAAGAATATTTATGTGTAGTCCTTCGCACAAGCAATAGTAAGCCGGTTAAAGTTGGTTGAGTTTATGTACAAAAATTTACTTACAAGTGGTCGTTAAATCGCCTTCAGGAAGGAGTCCTTTAGGTTCCCAGTTCGGGAAGCTGTTGAACCGTATATGCTTCTGCAATATGGGACAGGAATATTTCCCACGCTCCTTGAAAAAAAATTTACGAGTATACCTCCATTTTCTGACGAGCCTTCTTTTTTTATTATATCGCCTCGGAATGCATACCACATCCGTTATTCATATGAACAACTCAAGACCGGAAAGTGCTACAATTACGCTACTCTGATGATGGAAACGAGGAAGGTTCCGAAACGTCAGTTCGAATACAATATGGTCCATGAATTCGCCCTCTCTACTTCTTCGTCTTCTTCGGGAGATGATGAACGCGATACAATGTCTGGACCTCGAATCTTTACGCATATCGATGTATGCTATGGGCGCACAGCCCTCCGCTCAGCACGCAGATGGGAGACCTTCGCGAAGCGGGAGTCCTCCACCTACGCTCAGCTGAAATTCCTGCACAGGTGCCTTGATGAGGACGTCTTACCGAAATGCCTCAAATATAGACCGCCTGTGAACACTGACCTTTGCCGACGGACGATGGCAGACTTCAAGAAGAAAATGATCAGGGTACTGATACGAGACTGCCACGCCCGCATCCAGAAGTACCGCCAGATGATTGAACATCATTCGTCAACTTGCCAGTCGATCTTTACGGCACACGTGCTAGAGGTCCTCAATGCGGCAATTCTCGACAGCGCAGGGCGTCACCGAAAGTTGCGTGATGACCAGTTGTCTGGAAAATTTGAGAAAATAAGTCCGCCAAAGCAGCCCTCTACTGACGGTGCCTTGGTTCACAACTTGTCCTCTCATCGTTTCACTCAGCAACAACTAGCGGTTCTATCCTATGACGCGAAGTTCAACACAAGAGATGCTCGACCAGAAGACTTTA